TGGGCAGCCAAAAGACAGCAACCAAAACCGGCGCACGAAAGTGCATGGTGAATGGTTATTCAAACTGAACTGAACTGAACCGCTCCGCAGGTGCCTTGTTCTGCACCTTGACTCGCTGTCTATCTTATTATTGTACCGTGAAGACCGGATTGGCCCACAATTTGAGGTATGGTGTCCGTTTTTGTACATATTTACCCTCTCAAAGTACACGTAGATTACCGACTTCTCCTTATCTGGAATCGGACTTGGGGTCGTATCTACCAGTCACTCAACCACTAGACGACAGTCCGGTACAATGAGGGTTCTCAAACAAGTCGTTTGGTTCCGACACAAAAACCCATCCTCAGTGCAGTGATCAATCATTCGAGGCGCTCATTAGGAAGCTTGTTGTATGTGTATGGGTGTGTGGCAGGCAATTTTCTACTGCACCCCGTCTTGTTTTGCAGTTAGCACTCTGTGTGTGTGTGTCTATGTGTGTGCGGAGTACAACAAACGAGGCATGAACGAAATGCATAGCAAGATAAATTACAGTAGGTGTTTGCAGTCTTCCGTACTATGGTCCAAAAGATTCAGTGACTGCAATGGCAATGATATCTCCCTTTTCTCAACAGATTGGAATGCTTGAATAGGTGCATAGGCACAGTTCAAGGAGTTTATAAACCTCATTTCAACTTTGAACTAAGTACAAGTTAAATTCCGGTTTTTACGTCACTGCATGGATTCAGCATTTTCCGCAATCATGTTTATTGTGACCATCTTAGTTTCAATGATAACTAACTAGCTGGGGTTTAAAAAGTTAGACAAGGAAATAGAATGTATTGCGAACTGTACACAACCACAAAGGGGTTTCGGGCTTTCTGTATTTATCGTTCAGTTCGAAGAATGAGTATCGTCTCTAGTATTGTGCTGTCGCAAGGTGTCTCCTTTAAACATAATGTTCACCCACCTTCCCACTCTCACTTGCTGAATTTGGGCTATCTTCAACCTTGTGCGACCTCCCGGTCTATGGACTAGCTGCGATCATTTCACTTTGATGAAAGGAGATCCATGGTTTTAAATATTTGCTGTTGGTCTGATCCAAAAATGATTGATATTTCACACGGCACGGATACATGAACTCACTCCGTTTGCTCTGGTCGTTAGCATTCTACAATGTTATGCAAAATGATTTAGATTGTGTGAAGATTGAGAATGGCGCCGCCTGTGTTCGTCCACAGAAAGACAGTTGTATGCAAGCATGAAGGACCATACCCCCCCCCCTACCTCCCGGACACNAACTTGTTCTCATCACCTTTTACTGCATAGAACACGGTTGAGTATCAAAACCAATAAACAGCTTTTTGTCTGTAACACTGAATAATGAACTTGATAAATATTCACTTCTGGTTTTAAATTTACCAAATATCATCCACATTGCCCGTCTTTGGATATTTCTATCAGGTTTGGACCGTCAAAATACTGCACACAGCGCATTCTACATCACCGTTCCACCCGAACTGCTCACCAGACATCAGGAGACAGTGGAAATGTGCCCGGCCACATCCACACAGCGCAAACTACTTGGTCCAGACGGGATCCTCACCGGGGTCAGTACTCAATGGGGTAATTTGGATCGGTTGATGGTTGTTCGTGCCGTAATGGAGTCAATTGCCTTGACGGTGCGCTATATGCTGGAACGATGTCGAAAAGAAGCAGGTTAGTTTCTGTGTTTCACGTGGGTTTTTTAGCTTCTGTCAGAGTTGTTCTGGATAGGGCAGACGAAGTCAAAGAGCAACTCAGTTTGTCGATCATCCGCTAGTTCATTCCATTGACAGTAGTAAACAATAGGTCCGGGAATTAATTCAAATGAAAATTAATCAGAATAGACCGGATGATCTTCTACTGGCAGCTACTACTACTCTTGTGCTCACTGAAAATTAGTTGGAAATTGATCAGCCCCTCTCCATGCATTCATCATGGATGAATATTTATAACGCTAGTTAGTTTGTATCCGTTTGCTTGATAGTGGCGTTAAAACCTGTGTCCGATAGACTAGCCAAATTTGATTTTTCACAGCCAGAGGAATCCCTAGCGCTTAATCATTAGAACCGGCACCTTGAAATGACTGCGTTGTCTTAAGACTGCTGAACTGCTCAACGTTTTACAATTCAAGTTGTTCGAGTATTAAATCAAGGTGCCCCGTCGTTCTCATCAGCACTGCCTGGTCCATGTACTATCCAAACCCCATCGAGCTGGCTGAATGACCACACAGTACAGCACAGATTTTTCAACCAATTGTTGAAGCCAAAGAAGCGTCTATCTTACGTGCATGATCCATTGGTGTCAGCGGAACATGACCAGATAGGATTTTTCCCTGGATGGAGACCCACACACGCACAGAAGTGTACGTGCACTGGCAAGGCAAACGACCAATATATACCTTGCGACTTGGGGCCTGTGTGTGACTGGGGCAGGCAGGTTGCACAACCGTCGCACCGCGCGCTTCTTGAACAACGGGTTGAGAAATTTGTGCTGCATTGTGGTCATTCAGACATTGCTATGAGACTTGTACGGTACGTGAGCCTCGCAGTGTTGATGGGGTCAACGGAACAGCTTGAATTTGCGTCGAAACAGCTTGGAATGATACCTGGTCATCAAGATTTGCTACGCAGACAACTTGAGTCGCAAAAGTTATAGGGGAAGAACCGAACTGGGCAATTTTCAACCGCACAAACTATGACTGGATGTCTCTGGAGTCGAGCGGTTTATGTAATAGCACTTTCGCTTGCTCTAATCCCTGTGGTTTGTATTTCAAATACCGACATCGGGACCTACTTTTGGTGTTCAGTTCTATGCTTACCAAATTGCGTGGTTCACTGCTCCAAGTCTCCGTAGTTGAGCAGTGAGTAGGTTCAGCACATCAAGGGATGCAGTAAGATGATGTGTTTCCCCTCCTGCTGCCGTCTAATGATGATAGCAATAATAA